GGTCACAGCGGGAGTCTAAAATAACAGTGCAGAGTGCTGAACGCAGGTGACGAGCGGGAAAGCTCCAGCTCGGAAAAGGAGGAAAAGGATTGGGAAGGGAGGGCCGGCCGGCTCACCGCTGCCCTCGCTGGGGAAGTACAACTGCAGGATGCTGGTGCAGAACTGGCAGAGGTTGTCCAGGGACTGCAGGTGCTGCTGCAGCTTGCTGTTGGGCAGCTTGGCCTTCAGCAGGGGGGCCAGGTGTCCGAACACGTAGGCGTCCAGCGAGGAAGGCCTGGGAGCGAGACATGCGGAGCCAGAGTTAACGGGGCGCGGGGGTCACGGGGAGGCCAGCAGACTGCTGGGGAACCAGCACATCACCCAGTTCCCGCGTGGCATGGACAGACAGGGCAGGGGCCAAGGGGTTCTGTTAATTAATTACCGATTTATACTTCTGACTATTAAATTAATTGGATGCTGTTGAAGGTCTTAATCAGTTGCTTGTAAAACCTGCTGGAGCTGCCCATCCCTGCTATTCTGTACAATGCTGGAAAAAGACACACTGATACAGAGGCTGATTTGGTATGTACCATATACTTATATGCAGGCCTCACCACAAATTAGCATTTTGTCGCTCAGTAGGGGGCAGTACTGGCAAAGCATCACTATCGTCACACTGCACCCTAATACATGAGTAACACCATGGGGCTCACCGTGGTCACAGATGCATAAGGTGGAGTGGAATCCAAAGACTGACATTCCCACAGCCCCTCCCAGACACCCCATTTCTTAATGTTTATTCGTTAATCATTAAATGTTTTCTCTAAATCTAGAATGTGTCATCTGTGCCGTCCCCTGCTTTGGAGTCACGCGTGACCCAAACAACAGCCGGCCCCGAGCCAGCCCCAGGCTGCCCGTGAACGCCTTCAATTCTTCCAGCTCAGCACACGACTGGATCCATTAAGGAAACGAGACTGGAGAGTGAAATAACCGCGGGGGGGGCTCCCGAGGCTGGGCGGCCCGGCGGCTCCTCGGGGGGGGAGGGGTTTCGGAGCGGAACGGCGGCCTTGACTTACGAGTCCCCGAAGAAGAACTTGTGCTGCCCGAGGCGCTGAGAGAGGAGGGTCATGCACTCCAGGGCGTCGCGATACAGCTGGGCGGGCAGACAGACAGGACAGATGCACGGAGTGCGTTAGTGGACGCACAGAGGGGGTTGTTTTCAGGATGTATTTCCTGCATTTTATTTGGAGCGGGAATACTGGAATGCTACTGTTCTCATTCCAGAACGCTGACTTTTTGCCTCCTAAACATGTGCGCTGGTGAGGACACATTCGGAATTTAATGTTCTTTCAGATAAATAAGCGAATAAGAGGCCATCTGGTCTCGTGATGTCCCTGCGGAAAAGGCCCAGCCTGTGCCACATGTCACAGTGGTCAGCATCGCCGTCTCGCAGCCCCGGGACCCAGGGTTCAATTCTGGACCTGGTGTGCTATGTTTGTGGAGTCTGCATGTTCTCCATGTGTTCACATGGGTTTCCTCCCTGGCCCTGGTGTGAGTGTGCGTGTCTGTTTGTCTGCCCTGTGATGGACTGGCATCCAGTCCATGTTGTACCCTGCCGTGTGCCCGTTGAAAATGGATCTTGCATGATCCAAGAACAAGAAGTCGTTTTAACATCAATATGCTTCAAGTTTACACATTCGCAGGCAGGAAGGGGACACGAAGGGGAAGTGTATAAAAAACTGAGGACATGAGATTCTTCGATACACAAAGAGTGGTGGGGGTCAGGAACAAGCTACCCCTCCATGTTGTTGAAGCTGATACCCTGATTTTCAGGAAACATCTGGAAGGGATCCTGGAACCCACTAGCAACTAGTGACCCAACGATCTAGATAGGCTTCTGATTTGTAACCTCTCTCGCATTTTCATCCCAGGGCGTTAGACTGGAGAACACGCTAAGAGCGGTGACAAACGAGAGGAGGCCACTCCAGTCTGTTTGCTAGTAGCCAGTAGATCCGAGGATGTCTTTTCCTGACGGATACCAGCAGAGTCCTGCTCCCTACACACCCAATTTTTGTCACATCCCAATCCAAACTCTTTCTTGCAGTTGGACGGCGCGCGACTCTGGCTGTGAGGAGAGAGTTTGACTGCACGTGGCACTGAACTGCACCTTGCCATGGGCCTCCACGGGACTGAGATCCAGGGGAGGCGAAGAGACCTTTGGCTCTGGCACATCACCGAGAGAGTCTACTGCTGTCGGTGGGAAAATACTTGCTTACACTTATACGGCGCTTTTCTGGACACTCCACTCACAGTGCTGTACAGGGAATGGGGATCCCCTCCAGCACCACCAGTGTGCAGCCCCACCTGGATGATGCGCCAGTCCGCTCCCCACACATCAGCTCTCAGTGGGGAGGAGAGCAGAGGGATGAAGCCAGTTCAGAGAGGGGGGTTATTAGGAGGCCATGATAAGTAAGGGCCAGGAGGGAGTTTGGCCAGGATGCCAGGGTTACACACAGCGAGCGGATCGCCCCAGTGCTTAAAAATAAACAGAGTTTAACGACAGGAAATTGATTCCAGTTGTCAGATCACGTATACGCATACCTTAGCTGTGTGCAACAACCTGAAACTCTCAGGTACCACCAATGATGGTGCCCCCAAGATGGAACCAGCCCACGCTGTGCCGGTGCCCGGGATCCCCAGCACCCAGGCTCTCACCTCCTTCTCGATCTCCTCGCCGGGCTCCAGCCCGCTGTCCCCCGTCACCAGCCTGAGGCGCTCCAGCTGCCGGGCGTGCATGCGGTTGGGCAGGTAGAAGTTGAGCGGGAAGGGGATGTTCTCGGCGTACCAGCGGCGCGTCACGTCCACGTAGTTCTTTGAGTCCACCCACTGGGCGTAGATCTGGCGACGGGCCGGACACAGGACAGAGGTCAAGGCCACCGGCAGGGCCAGGGCACAGCGCAGGCGCGCTGGAGCTGCCGGATCGGACCGGATCGGGACCAGGGCTCCAGCCATGTCGGATGCGACTTAGACTTGTAGCCCCAGTGAAGTCCCTCATGTAAAAACACAAGAGGAGTGTCCAACATGGGATTTGAACCCAAAAATGACCAGCCTAGAGCTGTCATTCCTTCTCCACACTGTTGCCTCCAGGACATCAGCACTGCCACACTGGAGCTCCAGTACTGCAGGAGTAATGAACTACAGTTATAGGACACCAGCGCTGTTACACTAGAGCTACCAGACTGTAGATGAATGAGCTACAGCTACAGGATACCAGCACTGCTACACTAGAGCTACCGGACTGTAGATGAATGAGCTACAGCTACAGGACACCAGCGCTGCTACACTAGAGCTACCGGACTGTAGATGAATGAGCTACAGCTACAGGACACCAGCAGAAATGCAAGTACACAAAGTTTCTGGATAGCTCTACAACCCTCCACGTGTGTGCCTTTGTAAGCCCACTTAAAATACTGTATGAAAACTCAAAAGCGTTGTGCAACAGGGAGTAATATTTGCATTCCTGCCTGCTCCCTGCTGTTAAATTAGAGATACAGAGCAGGGCAGACACAAGCAGCGCTGAACTCAAATTACAGGGTGGGCCACTACAGCCCATAACCGCAAGCGCTTAATTTATAACGTGACTGTCGTTCGGCGCACTAGGCCAGAACGCCGTCAGTGCCCTTTCTCCGGGGAATGGGAAAAAGCAATCCCTATGCAGTCAGGGATCGATGGGTTCCGAAAAGGCAGGATTTCTCCTGTTTGGCAAAAAAAAAAACCATCGGGAAAGGTGGAGGAAAGGGCCTTTAGTCAGGCAGGGCACCACGAGGGCAGAAAACCCCTCCTCCCACAAACACACTCTCCTTGCTTGGTTACGTGGCTTGGAAAGAGTGCGCTGGACCGCAGGGCTCCCCCTCCTACTCAGCCCTGCCGACATGTAAACCACACGGACCTTCGGGATCTTAAAGGAAGCCCTAGACACTGGGATCGTTAACCAGGGCGCTGCCTGCGGCGGGTCCCCAGGGCCCAGGGTTTGGGATGAGAGGAGAGGGAGGCAGCAGTAGAGAGGGAGGGAAGTAAGGAAGGAGGAGGTCGAGTCGGGAAGCAGGACATGGAGCCTCCCCCCACCACCTCACCAGCGCAGGCAGCAGCTTCTGCTCCAGCAACGAGACGAAGGCCAGGGTGTCAGCTCCCTCCTTGGCAGACAGGTCATAGTCCGCGTTGTATTTCTGAAAGGACAGAACAGCCGTTCACAATTTGAGGGGAGGCTACTGGGCCAATCCAGTCCTTTGGGTAGTTAATTAGTAGCTGATTGGTCCAAAATACACCTGGATGCCATCCTGCTGTTTTTGGAAAGAAGACAGGGTATGGGCTTCAATGACCTGGATAGGCAGCTTGATCCACACACCCACCACCCTTTGTGTAAAGTAGTGCCTCCTGTCCCCAACAGGCCGATCTCATCCAGCTGTTTTTTTTGAAAGAATGCAGGGGACTGGCTTCACAACATGACTAGCGGGCCTGTTCCACACTCCCACCACCCTTTTGCGTAAAGAACTGTTCTTGGTTTTAAACACTTTCTCATGATTTCCATTTGTACACTGCTCACCGCAACCCGAACCAGGGCGCACAAGAGATAACCATGTGGAAGTGCAGAAGAAGATGCCCCCTCTCACCTCTCTGCAGGCCTGGCTCCTGTTCCAGGTGCAGACAAAGAGCTGCCCAGCCATGCTGTCAAAGCCAATTCCCAGGCTTCTTAGCTCTTACCCTCATGCTCTGCCCCAGACGTGCAGGAAAAAGGGCAATGCACCACAGTATCAACACACCAACAACCCAAAATAAAAAAAAAAAACCAAGCTGGATGTTAAGCGAATAACATCAGGTTACATACGAGAGGAATCCACTGGGCCGATAATGAATAATGGATCCCAGGATCTCAGCTCGTTTCTGGAAAGAAGCCGGGGTCTCGGCTTCAATTACATGGCTAGCTGGCTTTGTTACACACTCCCACCACCCTTTGTGTACAGACGTATCCCTTCTTCACGGTCTTAGATGCACCAGATTTAAAGCAGACAGCAAGGAGAGTTCGCCCAATGGTATGACCATCCGGTTCTGACACCACGTCGTACTTTGGGAATCCTGGCCCGTTACCGATCCCTGGACTTTACAGGCCCAGCTGGACCTCCAACCAAGTGACCTTAGGGTCAAGCAGAGACTTGCCTCCACCGTCACACCTGCAGGAACAGCCCAACGGTGTGCAGACCGGGGCACCCAAGGGTTACCGCAATCAAGCCGGGGACGGGCCGTCCTTGCAAAATGGACAGAACCAGAGCAAAATAAAAATAGTGCCACCACAGTTTTTCCCAAAACAAAGGGTTAATGTTCCATCCCCCATGTTAATGTTAGCAGGAGCCACTATCACAGCCCAAGACGCTTGGCTCAGCCGGAGGAAACCTGCTGTTAACAGCAGAACACAACCGCTCCAAGGCCAGCGTGACTCTGCCAGCCTCTTCGGTTTCCGTGTTGATTATTTCCTGCACAGCAGCTCTCGGTGCGTGCCTGTCTCCCACTGTCCTGGCTCGGAGAGGCCGTACCGCAGCTATCCGCAGGGATGGGTTCCCTCTGGGCACCAGCCCAGCACTCTGCACTTCTGACAGGAGGAGAGGATCGCAAAAAACACATCCTGGCACCAGAGTAACGGGATGTGTTTCTCATCTTATTTTAACAGCTGAGAACACCAGGTCTTTGAGTCTAGGATGAACCTCTGAAGCTTCATAGCCAGGGAGTGCAGAATGAGCTCCTACACCCCAGAGGTCACAGGCAGGCTCCCAGTCCAGAAGGAGATCCTACACCCCAGAGATCACAGAGGCTCCCAGTCCAG